GGGTAACTCTTTAAAAATTTCTTCGCACATTTGGCGCTTGTCAAAAGTTAGACCCGGCTGGCCGTATAGGTGTTTTCGAAATTTTTTGAACGGTTTTGCTAATTAAAAGTCCACGCGTGCTTCGATGGTCCTGAATATTGAATGAATGCAATTTGTCTTGAAAAATTGTGAAATACTGCATTTTGTACGGGGTCTGTATGATAAAAACAGCATCTCATAGTACTCTTTCTTCTCAGATGTGGTGTATAAAAAAATAAATAAATAAAAGGTTGGTTTGCACGCACCCAGATTTATTGGCAAGAATTTGTAAACTTGTCGAACGCAAAAAATTCGGTCTGATTTGTTTTCCAATAATTTGTTTTCCACGCCTTATGTACTGTGATCAAGAGCCATTATTGCTCTTAAATGTGACCGAAGACTATTTTTGGGCTGTACATATAATATAAGGCTATATCAACTCGATACAAGATTTTTTTTTCTCCAAAATCACTTAGCTTTTCCCTCAAAAGTCACATGAATGTGCCCTTAAGTTAACTGATTTGTGGCATACAAAATTATTGTTTGATTTAAGTTATAAATTTATCAATGGGAACTTAGCTTTTAGCTGTGGCTAAATGTATATATTATATAAGGGTTATCATTCCCTGTCTCTTATGAAACAGTTATGATCTTGTAACTTAACAGAGTTAAGAACATGTAAGCAAAAACCTTATTGAACGCATCATTCAAGTCTAAGAAAAATATTCCTGTATTGTGGGAGGTGTCAGTCCAAACAACTGTGATGTCTGATTTCCATATGAGCAGGTTATCACATTTTGAATAAATGCACACAGAATATACATTTTCCCACAGAACTTAGAGCTATTTTTAAATTGTTGTTAAAATCCATTGACTTGAATCATTTAACAACATCACCAAAGATCCACTCAACAGATACTCTGACGTGACTCATGGACTGGTTAAAAGACTCCATTTCAGGGGCAAGCCTTACATCCCTGAATAGTGCCTGCAAGTGGATCCTCAGGGGATAGGCAGGATCCCCGTACAGGCACATGGGCTGTCCAGCTGGTGAAATGGCATAATTCTCCAAATTTGCTAGGAGACCAGAATCTCTAAGAATCGCTGCATCATGCCTCTTACCCTCTGAAACATCAACCACAATATACATTCCTATATTTTTCAAAAACATTAGCAAATTTTAAAGAGAATAAATTAATAATAATATAATAATAATTCAAGAAATAAATGACCCATTATTGACTCGGCGCGATAATGGGTTTTATGATGAGGCGGGGCATTATCTTATCTTTAAGTGCAAGCTGCAGAGGTGGATAGGCAAGATAACGATAGTTGGCTAGGCACCACACACAGAGCGGGCTATAAATTCGTGAGCTTCGCTATCGCTCGCCACTTTTTCTGCCAACGCCGATCGTGAGCTGTTTAGCTATTCAATAGTGAACTTATTTCTTTCTCCGAACGAACAAGCCAACCAACAATCTGGCAAGTGCAATTTTCTCCCCCACCCCTGTTGG